GATTCACTAAATAAGGGCAAAATCAGCTTCTCTTTCAATTAATCCTTTTTCGATACCATTTGTAAATAAATTAATAATTCTTTAAGATTTAAATCAATATTTTTTAACAAAATGTTTTTTATTTATTGAAATACATTTTTTAATGATTTAAACAATGATTTATTAATTAACAAAATTATATTGAAATTTAATAAAAATATTTAATGAATTGAATGTGTTTTGAATTAATTAATAATTAAGTCATTTATCCTTTTTGCAATATCTTATTAATAAAGATTTGTTTGTTTTGTTGACTCAACTCTAGTCTCAATGTGTTTGAATCCATTGAACGGCAATCCAATTCATATTCAGTCTTATCGTCCAAACCATTAGCCATTTCCCGAAGAGACCAGAATTGAGTGAAAAATCTGTTTGCAATCGATTCGAGCATTTGATGCTCTGAAGAGTTGACCAACTCTTTTGAGAGATCAAAACCCATGACTACTAAACACTTTTTATTTAGTTTTTGGCCACAATTAGTACCCGTATTAATGAGAAGCGCCGACAACTCTGCCATCACTTGTTTCTCCTCTTTTTGATGGCTTTTATGTCTTTTAGCGAACGACTGGTTATTATCTCTTCTTTCGATTCTTGAATTGAATTGTTTAATGAAATACGAGATGTCGTCCACAATGATAGCCATCGGACACAATGGCGTCGATTGGATGCCTAATAAGTGGTTCACAAGAGAGTCATACGAAGACAAGTAATAGATTTTGAGGAACTCGAGAGCGGATCCGTTGGTCATATCAATTCTGGGCATTTGGTTGACTTCGGCGGGCATTGAGTCGATCTGTTGACTGACGATGTAATGGACGTCTTCGTAGTGATGGGAAGTGACCAACGATTGCATCAATTCAAACAATACACCACTTTTGCAGACACTTTCATTGGACACCAATAATACACTATTTGTCTCATTATTGTCGTCATTAGTCAACACATTGTTGTTGTGGTTATGTTTGGCAGGCATTGGAAACACCATTGAAAGCAATGACAACATAATTGCAATACAATTACAACTGAATTACAATTGAATTGAAATCCAATGCAAACTAAACTCAAACCCAAAGCCAAAGTGAACTCTGAATTGCATTTGAAATAACGTATTGATAGCGAAAGTGATGTCACTTTTGGCGCACTTTTGCCATCAAATCATATGATGTGTTGTTTTTGTTATGCATTTCATAACACTTTTGACACTTCACTCAATCAGTTGTGAAGTGTTTTTCATTTCACTATTTATTTATTTACTGTTATTATAGTTATTGTAATTAATGAACGCTTTTTATATAACAATTAAAGTATTATTTATTGATTTGCGAGTATTTCAAGCAATAATTGTGTGATATATGGGATATGTTTAGCAAATGTTGATTCAAAATAAAGTCATTTTGAATGGACTTTGAAAATAATGTTATGATTTATATATTGTAATCAAAATCATATATTTTATGATTTGATTAAATCGCCAAAAATGATAACAATTTATGCTTTATTTTATTATTAAAACACATATTTTAGACCCTATTTTGACGACAAAAAAATTGTTATAAAATTAATTGAATAAAACATATGACGGATGAGAAGGAAATGAATTGCTATTGAAATGACAATTAATTATATATTTACAGACATTAAACATATGAATCCATTTCGATATCAATTAATATCTATTCAAATGTTATAAAATACAAGTTTTTGTATTTGAGTGAAAGTGAAATGAATTGTAATGTTTTTAATTTATAACAAGTGATCAATAATTACTGTCTCTAACACTAAATCATATGAATATCTAAAACAATGGCAAACAATAGCTGATTATCATAACTGCTCTGTCATTATATAATTGTAATTTCATTTGTCATTATATTTGTGGCAAAATAATCGTCAATACATTCAAAGCCAATGTATCAGTGATTTAGACATCCGTTTGTCTCCAATTGAATCTCAATCTCAACGCAAAGAGCTTTCAAAACAAGTTTTTATATTTCATGTATTCTTCTTTTTGTCTCACTTTTATTTAATCACTTCTTTTATACTTAATTTGTATTCAATGGACAGTTAATTACTATTACTGTTATTACCGTTATTTTGATTTCATTGAATTGAACCCAAGTATCAAATACTGAAAACAAATGATGAAAATATTTATTTAACGAGTAAATTGTCTAAATATTGAAACAAATTTACATGTATTGTATTGTTGACAAGATATGTAAATAATTGACTCAATTAACAAATAATGTCATTTCTGCGAGCGTTAGAGAGGGGAACCTCACCAATAGGTATGTCTCTCACCAACAAATCCTTTACAATAACTCATTCAATGATTGTATTCAATGATAGACTGGTGTGAAACCAATTATAGATATTCTCCACTTATCGCTGAATTCATTAATACGGTATGTATTATAGGCTATAATATGCTATCTTTTATAACATATGATTGACAATGGGATCAATTAATGTGATCCAATTAAATAGGTATCGAATATACTTTTCCTTTTACTGCCGGCGCTATTGAGCCAACTCTTCAAACAATACGCGCGAACCGTTAACCGCGGAGTTTACCTCATTTGGGTGTTGTTCGCAACGGTGGGCATCTGTTCCGCCTATTTTCACGCCACTCTAAGTCTTGTCGGACAACTACTCGACGAGTTGGCCATTCTATGGCTAATGGCGGCAGCATTTGGGATGTGGTTACCCCGAAGACACTATCCCTCATTTCTTAAAGGCGATCGGTTTGTATTTGTTTCAAACTCATTCACAATTGTCTTCAAAATGATAAGTAATTTCTATGTTAACAGAAAGAACTTCCAGTTTGTAATGCTTGTGATGAGTCTGTTTGGGACAGTACTCGCGTGGGTCTACCCGTGGATCAATTGTTTCGCACTCATGGGTTTAGGAGTTCCGGCATTTGTCTTCCTTGCGCTCGAACTCAAAGCGTAAATATATTTTGTGGTAATAAATGGTTAATCATTGATAACTTGTAATGTTTAGGTGTCGTAACGCGAGAGTCAAACGGTTAGGTATGCGGTGTTTCTTGTGTTGGATCTTCGCTTTGTTCAGTTGGATATTCGACCGAATGTTTTGCGACATTTGGTCCGCCATTAACTTTCCATACCTTCACGGCTTATGGCATATATTGATAGCGATTACTTCGTATACGGTTTGCGTGTTATTCGCGTATTTCGACGCAATCAATGAACACGAAGAAAAACAGCCAACAATCA